CCGCGAGTCCCCCTTACTGCTGCTGTTAGAACATTTATAGATATCATTTACATAAAGCAAAAATAATAAAGGACCTAGAATAGAACCTTGAGGGACACCGCACAAGGTGGTTTCTTTATTTGAAGTTACCATTCCGATCTGTGTTGTTTGAAATCGGTCTTTCAAGTAAGATGCAAACCAATCATTAATAATACCTCTAATCCCATAATGATAAAGCTTACTTAAAAGTATCGAATGGTCAACAGTGTCAAATGCTTTTTTTAAGTCCATGAAAATACCACAAGAAAACAGTTTTTTATCCATATTAGTCTGTATGGCATTTATGATATCAAGAGCAGCATGTTGAGTAGAATGATCCTTACGAAAGCCATATTGCGATTCGAATAAAATGTCATTTTCCTTGATAAAATTAATCAATCTTTTATACATAACTTATTCAATAATCTTATTAAAATTTGATAATAAGGAGATGGGTCGGTAATTATTGGGATCAGTTTCATCGTCATCTTTATATACAGGTACAATCTTGGCAATTTTGAGTTTTTTGGGGTATTTACCTGACCGAATTGAAATGTTTATTATTTTTGCTAAAGCACTGCCGAAGAAACTCTTTGCATACTTCAAAATTCTAGTAGGACAAGAGTATAGACTATGTGATTTGTTGTTGGAAAGCAATATAMTTTCATACTCGACCTCTTGAGGTGTAGCTGGTTGAAAGAAAAAGGAATCTGAATTTTGGACGGTAGGAAGGTAGTCAGGAAAATTATTTGTTTATGGAGGTAATTTTGCTGCTAGGTTGAAACCAACAGATGCAAAATGCTTATTAAGAATATTAGGAATTCTCTCAGAGTCACGTACTATTCCAGTTCCACTAAGCTCCTTAATAGCACATATAGATTTTAACTTTTTCTTTTCGTGATTTATTATGCTATTAATTCCCTGCCAAGTTTTCTTTATATTAGACAAATTRTCATCGAAATAAGCTTGGTAATAAAGCTGCTTACTAATTCGAGTTAACCTTGATAATTTGTTTCTATACAGCCTATATTTTTCTTGATCCCCCGAATGAAAAAGATAATTTTTAATCTTTATTGAAGTTTTTAATCCCTTTGTAATCCAAGGCTTAGAAAATTGTTTAGCTTTATGGCGCGAAAGTTTTAGCATAGGTGCATGCTTATTTACAAGGTTATTGATTTTCTTGTAAAAAGAAGAAAAAACTTTATCAGCATCATCATTACAGAAAACGGAAGCCCAGTTAATTTGTTTAAGCTCATCATTAAAGCGATCAGCAGAAAATCGTGAAAAATCACGTAATTTGGTTGCATGATGAGGTTTGTGTACGTTCTTATTGAGTGAGTTGAAATTAATGCAGATTTGTGCAAAATGATCACTTATATCAGATATTATGTTGCCACTAACCGTTACTTTAGGATTGTTAGTAAGAATGTTATCAATCAAGGTGGCCGAACTAGAAGTGACTCGAGTTGGTTTGTCAATAGTAGGAAATAAATAATAACTT